ATGAGCTGCAGGCGAGGTTTCGCCAAGGATGTGGGCTTGGCCAAACACTGTTGAAGGCACCTGAAATGGTGGGGTGACTTGAACCGCGTCCAGCAGGTCAGTGACGGAGCTCCTTCTCACCTCCTTTCCATATCTTCCTTTGTGTCCCCCTAAAAAGACACACTGAGAAGTCTGAGCCAGGTGTACTAGGTGGTTGAGGAATTTATTTAGGGGAGGATAATTAATCATATTTGTTCTTTCTCTGGGAGGGAGTCTTCAAACAATACCGAAGGGCAAGGGCAAGGGCAAGGACAAGGGCAAGGGCAAGGGTGGGGGTCTGGAGGGGAGGGAGAAGGGACACAGCCAGACAAAATGGCAACACACGGTCACAGGCACTACCGACATCACAGACACAGCAGAAGGTATAGGATAGGGGCTCCAGACCGGACCTCCAACCATCCCCACAGGTGGGGGGTGGAGGGAGGGAGGAGGCAGGAGAAGGGGGAAGAGGGGTGGGCCGGCCCCATAGGCCCATTGGCTCTGTCCTCTGATTACCTATCTGTTCCATTGTGGGGGTGGGCAAGGGTATGTGTGGGTGTTTCTATCTGAACCCCACCCCTTACCCTCCAAGCCATACCTCTCAAGTCTCCCAGGCACCCTCAGTCCCTAGCCTTGGCCAGGGATATTCCCCCCCACTCCTAACAAAACCCATCCCTCAGGCCCTAGCCACTGCCAAACCTGCCCAACTTTAAAACATATTTTCTTTACTGCTCCATTGTGGGGTGGTGGGGCAGGCTTCCCCTCTGAAATCACCAAGTGTGCCCCACTCTAAGACCTGCCCCACCTAGAGCCCCAAACACGCCCTCACCCTAAGCATGACCCATTACTGAATCACCCTTCCAGTCTGCCCGCTTTAGAATCAAACTCAGTCTCCTGAATGTTTCAAGCCACACTCCTTCCATAGACTATGATCCCAATCCAAGACCCACCCACTCTGGAGCTTCACCCACTGCCTGGTTCAAGCCCCACCTCCTCTAGAACTCTCAGTGTTCTTCCAAATCCTGTCCCCAGGCCCCCAAGTCACACCCCGTCCATAGGACCAAGTCCTACTACAAGCCCTGACCACTCTGGGGCCCACCTGCTGCCTCGCTCAAAGCTGCGATCTTTCTAGAAACTCACCCTCAGTCTCCTTCCAAGCTCCTTTCCAGAATGCTCTAGGACACCCCTCTGCTTTGGACTCAACTTTCAGTATGTCTGGAATGCAACCTCCCTGCTTTCTAGTCCCCTCCACCCCAGAGCTCCTTTCCAAGACCACCTTGGGTCCCAAGCCCTCTGATCTCTGCCTTTCTGCCCCCTCCCAGGATTGAATTTTCTGTAATGGCCATTGTTCAAACATTGCTGGAGAAATCAAGGCCAGAGTTGGAAGGAGGGGAGGGAGAGAGGGGAGAGAGTCTGAAGTCAAGCCTACCCTCCTCACACAGCCAAGGTCTGTCTCCTCCCTGTACCTCTTTCAGAGTCCTCCCCAACCTCAGGGCACAGGGCCAGGGAACAGAGAGGCCAAGGGATGCAGGGAAAGGGCTAAGTATAAGAGGGGCCCACTAAAGATTGGGGCCCTAATGCATAAGGGGAGCAGAGTGGGGGCAGGGCCCAGACAGACAAATTATATATAT